CAACAGCCAGACCTAGGCTCCTTTATGGAATAGCCAAGTAGGACTTACATGCCATCATATCTTTTACACGTTTATTTGAATCCCCCACACTTTGCTTCATTTGGCTAGGAATAAAATGTTACAACTCTAATTTTAGGCGGCTCTTCTTTATTCACTCGTTTTTATATGGGCTTGATAAGAAGTTAAGTACCGTAAAGTCGTGTCCATTTGTGAACACCTTTTACAATGAAAAAAGAGATGCACATTGAGCAGAATTAATGGAGAGATATGCTCTCAGTCAAAATCTCATGGACTATGCTTCATGCAAATTGCTGTCTAGCGGGATACGTATGGTTCATTTCTAAATTTAACAGTAAATAGTGAAATTCTATGGGAATAGGTAACTGTGGAACAAAACATGATTTTTCTACGGGCTTTAATTATTAGGCGAATGCAAAGCTGTGTGGACATTTATCCTTACAAGGGTAGGAGAATGGAAAGATAAAAGAACAATTTTATCAAAGTCGGTTTAAATGAGAAGGGGATGCTCCGCTGCTTTTAAAATACAACGAAAGGCAATTGAGGGGACTAGAGCCCGCAGCCTCTGGAATTCACTAGGTTTAGAAATCGACTTATTTTATAACTGCAAGCATTTCTGAATAAAATAATTCTGCTGTGCCATGTCCACGCAACGAAAATAAGGGTTAATCCTGTTCACAGTAATTCAAAATACCAATTTTTAAAGACTAAACATCTGAACGCACCTATGATTAAACTCCCTTTATTAAACCGTAAAAATTTTGAACTAAGTGCTCATAACGCTTTGTTTTATTATGTAGTTTGCATCCTAATTTTTTTTCATGGAAATAGATGCCACTTCATTTACGGATTTAACTCGCTTGTTTTGAAGATGTATTGATGGTAAAGGATGACAAGTGCGCGCAAGATCAAGAAGTGTTGACAGCACATTATCTATTAATTCAAAAGTAGACGTTCATCAGCTAAGGATACATTGCATCCAGCTACAGATCCGTTAAATGACTGGACTCCAAGTGCGATAGGAAATTCAATCTAATGTATTGCAGAAGAACTACTCACAACTGCATTCCATCCAAGAATTTGTACTGTCCATACACGGCGCTCCTCGATAAAAAAGGGTGCTCCGATGCTTGAGAGGCCCGACGTGGCTTCCCGATGGGAGTGTGCTCAATCACAGCCCATAATACAAAGTCACTGCTACCACGTAATTACTCGCGTTCCAGTGGGCATTTTCGTATCTTCAACGTGGCTTTCAATTGTTCACAGGCACATAGTGATAAAACTATCGTTGTCAGTACGCCTTTACTAATTGTGCGCTCTTAAAAATTATAATTTTTCAAAAGTAAGTAGTTTTGTTTGCTCCAGATAGTCGTACAGGACCTAATTTTGGGGCTTCGGTAAAACTTCCCAACATATGAATCATTTTAAAACTAGTTTTTCAAAACTCGTGCTGCAAGCAGGAGTGAAGTGTGCAGCAATGAACTGCAAGACTCAAATGCCGCAGCAGGATGGGCAAAGGTCTCTTTTTATCTAAATACAAAGTTTTTTTGCGAATCTATTTGTGGCAGAACGAGAAGCATTAGCCGATTCAACAGGACGTTAAATATAGGTGGTATATGGGCCGAACGTGCTGGCAAAGCGACAATTTTAAAAATTTGGATTATGATGAGCCTGAAAACTTTTTTGTTTCACAAATTTTAAAAATAGATTATTGTGCTATTTGCTCAACACAGTCAGAATTTGTACTGGATAACTTTTGACATACCCGACTTGGCGATGGGTTAATGGGTAGTATTAACTTGTATCTACTTGCTACAGTCGACATGCAAATAAACGTAAATTACTAATTACACCATATTTACAATTTTTTACAATGTGTCAAACATGGCTCAGACTGCTGATCCTAGGTAGTGGGCCGTGGCTGATTCATTTGCATATCGCTCATCTTTGGCTAAAAAATGTGTTTTCAAATGGAAAAAGGCAACCATCAAGTTGTTGGAACAATTATTAAGCTAAACCTACTGTCCAAATTATGGTCGAACTATTATTTGTGGCCTTAGCTAGGTTAACTCTCCCTTTCCTCCTGCAAAGCAAATGACTACAAATGATGCACAAAATTCAGATGCATCTTTACAACAGTCTTTAAACACACAAATATGGTCATGCTTAAGGAAAGTTTTGGAAGAAGTCTTCCGCAAGTTTTGCATACAAACCACAACTTCTTTGAGGCGTTGATGTTATAGCCCATGTCAGTTAAAATAAACAAATGGAACGTATTTACTGACCTTCTTTTTTAACTTTTTCTTGTAAACACGTTTCTAAAGAACCTCATAACCTTTCACTCTCATTTTTATAAAAAAACATCACACAATTCTTGATCTGTTAGGTCATTGTATTGACAGGAAACCTTAAAGCTGTGCCATTTGAACGGTGAGCCATTCGAAGAATGGCAAGCAGAGCCAGAATTGCGGAAGCGGTGTAATGTGACACAGGCGTCGTTATGCTACAATTCATACACGTGCATCCATCCTTCTGCACACACCTTCTTCTCCTTCCAAAACGAGTTTATATGAATTTGATTAAGTACACTTAAAGTTGCCTAAAGCACTCTTTCTGTGGCGAAATATTTTGCGTACAGAGGTGGAAACTTCCCGATAATTTTTGCATTTGGCGACAGCTATCTACTAAACCTACCAAACACCTTTTACTCGCTTATTTATCGCGCATCTTCGCTATCCTTTTGGTTGCGTAATAACCGATTTATAGTGAGCTTTGGCCACAACAATTCTATTATAGCTCGGCACAACTACCAAATTGCATTTATTTGAATAACTGACACCACTCTCATGGCACTTCGCTCATTCCTTGGGTATTGCGTCTTAAATGTTTTCCAAGTTTAATTAATATGCATAATGCAAACGATCAAAATTAATTAATCGGAAGGGAAAAATTGTTAGATTTGAAATTTGACAATGATTATAGTACAAAGGTTTTTTTGCAGTATAATTAGAAACTTCTTCGCCTTTGTAATATTTTGCATGCCATTCGGAGAAAAACGACATTGGTAACTTTATCCAGACATCATGAATATTTTTTGTTTCTTTCAAGAAGTATTTGCATGCTACCTTCGTTGAGTGAACTGATTTCAAAAGTGACTAAACATTATGTAATAAAACTCCCTCTATTTATTTATTATGCGGGCACTCATTCCATATAAATTATAAACAAAGCAACAAAATAAATGGAAGGAAGCCTAAAATTAACTATAAAAGAACATGTAGGTAGATTGATAAATAAATGGACAGGTAGTTAGA